ATATTGTATCTAGAAAAAAATAAAACATTTTACTCATATTTGAGCAACTTTATTTTCTTTCAGAAACAGCTTAATTTATTTAACTGTAGCTTGAAAATGATTGGTACTATAATACTGGAAAATAATGTTTAATTTTGCTAACATTACAGCAGTGTGTTTTTATCTGTGTTTTTTCATTGGATTAGTGCTAGTTGTGTTTTTGAATATAGAAATGAAATACATTTCATGTATAATTTTTTATGCTTAATACAAGATACTTTGTATTTAATCTTCTGTTTGTTAATTTTTTTTACAGGACAATACTTTATGTTTGCAATCATTAGAAAAAGCAGTTAAAAAGGAAATCAGTAGAGAATCATAAAAACAAACATGATTTATTAAAAGTATTAGATATTCAGATACTTTCAAAACTTTCTTTTCAAATATGGGTACTGTCACATTTAGAATGCTTTGAAACTTGAAGGTATTTTTGAAGCTGCTAAAATTCAAGGAAATTGTTCTATAAGAGAAAAACTGAAAACTTAAGGCATAACTGTAATCTGTGACGGTGTATCTTTTTTTTGTATTATATGTACATTTTACTAAAGAAAGAAATAAAAAATGGTTAATGTCCCTAAAATGTTACTTGGTTGTAAAGCTAAGGTTATTCTTGTTGTCTCTCTGTCTCTCTGTCTCTGTCTCTGTCTCTCTCTTTCTCTCTCTCTTTCTCTCTCTCTCTCTCTCTGTCTCTCTCTGTCTCTCTCTGTCTCTCTTTCTGTGTGTATGAGAGAGAGAGACAGAAAGAGAGACAGAGAGAGACAGACAGAGAGAGAGACAGAGATTCACACCATGGAAATCTTTTGGTTTTATTGTTGATCATCTGTGATAGATCAACAATATGTGGTTGTTGATCTTTCACAATATGTGGGAAATTAGTAACATTTTTACGTTAGTTTTGTAGCAAGATTAATTTTTGTAACAAGATTTTGTTACTTCCTGAATAATTTTCAAATTAATCACTGGGTTTTCATAAAATACTTGTTTTCACTGAATATGTGGTTTACTAAGTTTTAATATGTAGTACTGGAAATATTTCTGAGGTAACTTGATTTACTTTATTAGAACATCTTATCTGTTGGAGAATATAACTACCTAATAATTTTATAAGTATAAAAGGTGGGACTTATACTTTATCAACTGTATTTAAGATACTGACTTTTGTGTGGAAGGGTAACTAGGTTATGGTGAGAGGCAAGGGGTGGAACTGGGGATATTGGAAGAAAGATATAATATCCGAAACAGTTGAGAATAAAATTCATGCATTTTAGTTAATTATTTTTGTTCATTATAGTGTTTTCATTTTGTGAGCTTTTCTATGCACATACAAAATGTTTCTCCTCAGGCCCCCTTGTATTTGCTGGTCCTATTTTTATGAACAACCGAGAACAGGCTCTAGCCAGACTCAGATCCCATCCAGCACAGCTAAAGCATAAACGGGACAAGCACAAAGGTATTTGGTCTTCCTTATCAACTAGGTGGGATACTCTCCCAGTTTCCTCCCTCTGTCTGAATTTTGTCTCTGGGAAAATGCATAAACCTGATTCTTCTACTTTGCTTCTATCGTTATGTAGCCTGAGGAGAAAGAACATGCTGAAAGTGACAATTTGTCAGTGACTATCATGCTTCTCATTTCTTTTGGTTGTTAACTTTTAATAAGACATTTTACAATATACCTTTTTCATTTCTTTTCACATCTTATGAAGAGAAAAGGGAATATATCATTAATTTTTCTTTTTTTTCCTTTATTATCTGTTCTTAAATGACTGTGATCTAGCATTTTACAATTCCTGTTTTTGAATACTGTTTATGTATTAGAATAAATAAACTTACTAAATGCAGTTCATAAAAAGATTCCTGCCATTGCATTTTCTACTGTTATAATATTAAGGTTTAGAATACAAATGAATACACAGATATTTGATATTCAAGGATTAAGTAGGGATAGATGTAAGCAAAGGGTGAGTCACGTAGACCTGCCAGTCCTTTGAGTCTGTCAGAGGTCCAACCAAGTCTGTGAGAGACTGTGAATTCATTTCTATTATTTTCTGAGATCTGAGTTCTGGGTTAATATTCATTAATTTTTTTAAAATCTGAATTCTGGGTTAATGTCAGATATTCCTAAGTTATGCTTATTTTTGTTATAGGCCACAAATTCTAATATCCAGAAAAATTCAATAGAGAATTTTTAAATTTATGTCTGAGCTTTAAATCTTGGTATGTGAACTAGGGATGCTTCACTGGCTCTTCTAATTTGCAGGTGCTGTTTTCTTAAATGCCTAAAACAACCCCTGAAAATTAGAGTAGAACATTTTAAAAACATATATGCTGCGTATATGTACATTAATTATGATGTTTGTGTCTTATATTCTCCTTTGCTTCAAAGCTTAACAATTGATTTCAAGAACCTTTCATGTGCAATATATAATCAATTTTATTGTCTTTCCTCAGTCTGTTGGGTTGCCACTCAGCAGAAACAACAAATTTCTGTTTTTAGTGAAAACACAAATAGAATATAAAGCTTATATTTTGCAGAAATAAAAACAGAATGTTTTATATCTAGCCACAGTAAGATTTATGATTGCTTTATTTCCACTAATGTGCTCTAACAATATCATAAATATTTAAATCTAAAACAATATTTGTAGTGTATTATGTAAATTGTTGTTATTGCCAGATTCTTTGATCACTTATGCTACTATTAGAACAGATTTTCTCAGTATGTTTTCCCCTCACTTATATGAAAGTGAAATTTTTCTAATTTGTACCTGAGATTAAATAGTCACATTTCATGAAAGTTTAAAATACTTGTGTCCTATGGACAAACATCTTTTTTTAATGTAATGGTAAATGAAAACCAAAATTATAAATTTAAAGCAGACTTTTTCCAGTCTTGTAATTATTAGCTATAGAAACTGTTAAGTGATAGGTTTATATCAATTTTGTCTGACTCAGGATTACTCTTTGCTGACTATCAATGGAGCAACCTCTTTGGAAGGACCTACTTAATAGTCTCACAGTACTGAAGTTTTTATTTTTATTTTCTAATTTTAATATATCAGCTGCCAATGTGAGCACATTTTTTCTGGTTTTATAAAGTTAGATAGTTTCATCTCTGTTTTGAAAATGCATATATGTAAATGACACCAAAAGGTGCTCAATTTACATAGAGTATTAATTACCATTCACTAATTCCTATCCATACTCTAACCCTTTACATTTACTATCTTGGCATTTATTCATTTCTCCCTTCACTGCTCTTGTTATTTTCATAGTCTTATAATATCCCCTTTTATTGTCTTGATTATATTGTTGGTATGATTTGTAAAGTGATAGTAGTTAAAATTTTCCAACTATAACCTTTTTTTTGTGGTACCGGGGATTGAACTCAGGACCTTGTACTTGCCAGGCAAGGGCTTATTCTACCGAGCTATCTCCCCAGCCCAGATTATAACTTTTATGGGGGGTAAAAACTGGATTTATTGTTAGAGTGATTTCTTTTTTTAATTTTTTTCATTTTAATGTAATATAAGTAAATATTAAAATATAAAAATTATATAAAAACAAAATTTTATCATAATATAATAACAATGGCTAGTACACTGTAGCATGGTCTTATAAGAATGACCAAAATGTTATTCATTTCATTGAGAAGAGTGATTTCTAAGATGAAAAGTTGGAGAACTTCTGACTGGAAAGAATTCAGAGAAAGTTTCATAGAAGAGCAAGTTTTGACAAGAGGCAAAGTAGAGTACATAAGGCTGAATCAATAAGTAGAATTCTGTATAACACATAGCAAGCTATTCTAAAATGTGATCTTAAATTATATTTCAAAAAGATCCCAGTATTAATATTTGTTTCAGCCACTCATTGCGTTACAAAGAAACACTTCAGTATAAAAATAAATCTAGGAACATCTAAATGTGATTTTTCTTATACCACATACCACATGTATATATACATACCTATATTGGAAGTTCTAAATTTGCTGTGAATAATTAAGAACCTGATCACTGTCTTTTGTAGTATTTTTATCATTAATAGTTGAAACATTGTTTTTATAGAGATACAGTTTAGATAAACTTCAAACAAAATTTTACTAATAGAAGTTTGATCTCTAATATCTACTACTGTTATAGTCATTATGGTTTTATTCAGTAACTTACTGGGCTTTAAAAAGAAAATCTTCCTTTCCTGATCTATGTCTTTTTTTGGGATATGTATCTATATTTAGTTCCCAACTCAAGGGAGGGGATAAAATGCTAATATCAAAGGTAAGAGCTTCTAACCAAATATCTAACATTTGTATAAAGTGAAATACCTGAAATGTGTAAATTAATTTAATCTGGCAAAGTAATATGAACATAACTTTTTTATGCTAATTCAGATTTTGTTTTAATTAAATATTTTTGCTAACTCAGAGAAAATTATCTTTTTTTAACATATGGTATCTTATGTAAACATCTTTGGAAGATGTGTATTCTTTTTGTGTAAGTCCTTTGTGTATTTAACCATTCTACTGTCTTTCCAAGACAAGTAGGCTTTGAACTAAAACTATTTCATTTGGGGTGAAGCCAAATGATTTTTAAAAAATTTTTTATACCTTCCATTTTTCAAACTTGACAAACTCACATTAGACTATTTAGCAGAAGATGAGTTATATTTTTATCCTATTATAGTAAAACCTCTCACTAATTCAGAATTTATGATACTTCAGCTGCAGTATTTGTGATCATTTTGATTTAAAAAAAAATCAAAGTTAATTTCTTCCTCTGAATTTTCAGGGTCATACTTTTAAGGGGAAACCTGTCTAAAATCACTAGCTTTTCAAACCAAGGGCTCAAGAAATGAAGGATTCCTTCAACGTGCCTTCAACCTCTGGGTCCAGCAGTTAATTCTTGTATGTTAAAGGACTTTTATATTTATGATACATTTTAATGTAATGTTAGCCTATTTTAAAATATAATGTAGGTGAACACATTTTATTTATTGTAGCATGTAGTTTAATCTGTAATCTTCTTGAAGGTAACAAAACTGAAGTTTTACTCAAATGTTCTGTGGTTAATACTTTTACAGTAAGTCACATGGACCTACTCATTGTTATTCCGAATTAGTGAGGTTTTACTGTCCTAATATTGTAGAATTTAAAATTGATGAACTACAGAGAGACTCTAGTCATTTAGTTAGAACAAAGGAAATCATAGTTTGGGTCACATTTATTTTACTTTGACATTTGATTCCTTTAAATGACATCTTAAAGCTAGATTTAAAAAATAAAAAGATAATGTGATTTGGTATTACTCTATTTAGCACTCTAAAATAGGCAATAAAAACAAAATTGTGTGTTTCTATAGATTCATATGTGTACCTGCATGTTACATATACTTGCTTGGAGGTGTACTATTACAGGACAGTGCTTTAGAATACTTGATCTTTTTAAATTCCTTTCAGATTTTCATACTGTGTGCAAGGAATTTGAATCTTGATAACATAGATGTCATATTTTAGTGCTGTATTGTATAGTTTTTGATTACAAAAAAGAAATAGTCTCTTCCCTTTACACATTCCAAAGTACAGCTTTTATATTCTGGAATGTGATTTTGAAACTTTGGTTAGAATGTGAGAAGATTCAAAGTCAGATATAGAAAACAGTGGTGGCTTAAAGCAAGTTTAATTCAGGAATAATAAAAAGACCGACTAGAAAAAGGAATGAAAGGAAGGCGTAGTGGGCCAGTGTGATAGCTCAGAGGACTAAAGCACCTACTCAGGCAAGCTTAGTCAAGGGCAAGCACAGTGACTTTGGCTTGAAACCCGTCACCACATGCTGTGCTAGCCCCTTCTCCAGGGTGGGTTGAGCCAGCAGGAGTCCAGGCGTAGTGGCACATCCCAGTGCTGGGGAGGTTGAAAGCAGGAGGATCACCATGATTCCGAGCTGCATAGTGAAACCCTGCAACAGAAAAAAAAAAAAAAAAAAAAAGCATAGTGGGGATAAGGACAGGGGCGTAGAATGGCTATGAGGTAAAAGGCTACAGAAGAGATGAATGAGAGTAGACCATTAAACTAAGATATATTGAAATCTTTGTCCATTGGGTCTTTATACATTTTTTAAGTTCAGTTGAGTTTACCATGTTGGTGCACAGTGTAGCTTTTCTGAGATCTGTTTTGGACATCTAATTGACATTTGAAGCAACTAGAAATTTTTTAAAAGTGGAAAGTACTAACAATATCACTAAGTACAATAGTAATTAAATGCTTTGCATGCAGTTATTTTTATGCAAATCAAATTTTCCCATATAAACTTACTTTACCTTAGTTTTTTGTTTCTATAACTTAAATATCCACTTTCATTACTTAACTGATTAGCTAAATAGATTTTATCCCTAACCATATCTTGCCTCTGTTTTTATTGATTTAACAATATTGCAGACATATACAGTATAGCTTTTCAAATTTGCTTCTTTGCAGGTAGATTCTTGGTCTATCACTCCTAACAGCTGCAGATTCTTCTTTGCTTACTTCTTTTAACCATTTTTCTCTTATATTCCCTTAGTAAATTGATTGAAATTCTGTTCTGAAGATGAATAATGGCTTAATTGTAAATTGTAACACTTACAGATGGAAGTGGAGAAAGAGGAGAAAAGGATGCAAGCAAAATCACAACATATCCTCCAGGCTCTGTACAATTTGATTGTGAGCTCCGAGCAGTACAAGTCAGCTGTGGATTTCACCATTCAGGTAGCAGCTGGAACTTTAGGGTATAACTGCATTTTTACAATTGTGCTGAATAAATGTCTTACTTGTTTAGTTTTAATGAATATAGCCTGTTTACTGCATGTGTTGATTAATAATCTCTCAAATCTAAGAGCTTCCTATTTATTTTAGTATCTGTTTTAAAAACTGCAGTACGGGCTAGGGTTATAGCTCTGGCACAATGCCTGCTTGATAAGCACAACATCCTGAGTTCGGTTCCCAGAACAAAAATCTCCCAAAAACCTATGGTCTTATGGAACAGTTACTGCACTTGTCAAAAAATCTTACTTGCAGTCTGTCTTCTAATGCACTTATTTTATAATTTAAGAAATTACCCAAAATGGGATAAAGTCTGACATCCCTTTCAGCTTTAAAATGCTGTGGGTTTTATGGCATGGTCCTTTTTAAAAATTTTAATGAGAAATATATGTCACCAAGTTTCTTTCTTATCTTCAAATGTACAGTTAGTAAATTGTTAACATTGGGGTTAAAAAATTTAGGTTGTACTATTCAACCTTTATAAAGATTAAAAAAATGTTAATTTTCTTCAATATGGATTTATTTTCCTGTGTAGTATTGCTACACATTAAAGATACTGTGTACATTATTTCTTTTTTTCTTTGCTTTTTTTTTTTTTTTTTTGTATTTTTAGGGAAGGGTGTTCAGGGTCTCACTCCTAGAATGGGCTCTTAGTGATCCTCCGCCTGTTTACAGCCACCCAAGAGGTGGGATTACAGTCCTGCTGCCACCAAGCCCAGTCTCAATTGCTCTCTCAGCATGCCCCAGGAGCAGGGCCAGCACGACAGGCCCTTGGATCAAAATCCTGGCCCCTGCACCTGCTTGCAGGCACTTCAATCCGCTGAACTATTTGGCCGGCCCTTGTGTACACTGTTTCAATTCATAATTGTGTAGAGTTCCAACCAACCAACTGCCTGTACTTATTCTAGATATTAGAGAATAGTATTTAACATGTACTTATTCACTTTTAAGACTCTACAGTTGACAAGAATCAATTTGTTTTGTTAATGTTATTAAATGGAATGTGTAAGAATGCATTTTTATGGCCTACAAAGGTAGTTTGCAGAGCTAGTATTATATTGACTTGTTGTTAAACGGAAATTCATTTTAGCTTCTTTTACCTATTTTTAATGACTAAGATTAAGCAGTGGGAATCACAGTGCTTTCAGAATAGGTGTGATAGAAATATAAAATTATACAGGAAAAAATAAAAGCTGTTTATTCTGGTTTCAGTGGTTTTAATGGAAAATGGAGATGTCTATACTTTCGGATATGGGCAGCATGGACAGCTGGGACATGGAGATGTCAATTCCAGGTACTCACTTTTTGTTTGAAGATACTGGATTCTTAAACCTGCCCCATCTTTTTCCTTTCCATCTTTCTTCTTAAATCCCTATTTCTAAAATCAAAATAGTATTTATGTTACTGTTTTGCAATCTCTGTCCTGAGAATTCTTGGTGGTCCTTGATTTTGTGATGCAGCACCTTTGTGGGGTAGGTGATTTTGTAGTTTTAAGAAGCTGATTCACACTTTTTGCATTTTAAATATGAGTACAGTTATCACAAAGTCCAACCATGCTCTTAACAATTACTGTCTTTTTAAAAGCTAGGCATAGCAATAGAGAAAACATAAAATATCCCCAAACTGCATTTTTAAAAGATTAGCAGTGAGTCTAGAGCAGACATAAAAAGAGACATGATGCAGGGCTGACTATGCAAAGAGGGAGGGAAGGAAGGTTTGAGTAGGAAAAGTCTAGGTTGCAGTGCACCTTTGTAAGCATTTGAACCAGGCCAGTGAGATGTTCCCAAACCAGAGTTGCCTTTCAAAGAGTCATACCAGGCAGGCAAAGGCCTGTAGTTACATGTTCGTTGTGCTCAATTACAGGATGGTAGGATGCATGGGAAAAAAAGACTGTATAAAGCCAAAGAGATGGTACCTGCGGCACTTAGTCAGCTCTTCTCCCTGTAGTAGGTTTTCTTGAAGTCAACCTAATTTTTATGTCTGTGGAAACTAGGTGTATTTTGCAGATCTGGAGAGATGTAGGTGCTTAGGTCACACTTGACTACACAGTATAGTTTGTGTGAAAACTTTCTTTTTGACTCTTCAGACTTCCTTATTTTCCTTTGTAGACAGAGTACATAATTCCATCTTTTTTAGAATCAAAAGTATGCTATGCTCTCTCATTTATATTTCCAGTGTCATGTAGATAATAGATAAAGCTTCAGGTTTTGTCTTGAACTCATCCCATTGCTATGACAGTGATACATTGCCACCATTTGTATAACATAATCTGATTCCATAGTTCATCTGTGTGAAGGACTTGGCAGCTTGATGTCAGACATGAGGTGGTTTATTTTCATCATCATTACTATTTACTGTTATTTGTCCAGAATTATTTTGGGTGTCATGTGAACTGGGAAAGGTACAAAGCAATGAGATA